TCATCAGCTTAATAATGGAATGTCAGAGTGAGGGACATTATATCAGACTTAGCAGAAGGCGAGAAAGAGCGATTTCTGTCTTTTAGTAATTTATTGAATTAAAGGCTACATCATTAAAGTTCTGTCGTCGATAAATTTTATACTAAACAACATCAATTAAAATGTACAAAATCGGCTATTGCTCGAAAAATATACCATACCATCTACAAATTGAGTTTTGATGTAAATTATTTGACAATTGAAGACAAATGAGCAAAAATACTGTTTATTTCATCGGTCTTTATTATTTAATCGCAAATATGTAACGTACTGTATATTGAAGTTCTAAAAAAGCAGCTATTCTTAAAAATAAAAAAAACACTTAAGTGGAACCTAAACTTTCTCTTGAAGCATGTAGATTGTTTACGAATTAATTAAATTCGTGGTCAGCAGGCGTTTATAACAATAATTTGTAAGCGTTTTTCCTTAAACATATTTTATTAAATATCCTTCTTTCCAGTTACCCTAGGGATGCATTATCGTTTTGTAACAATGACAGCAACAACAGCAATAATAATAATAATAATAATAATCAGCCTGAGAATAATAATAATAATAGTGAACACTATGTTATATTAAATATAGCATGTCGAAATCTGTTATTTGCCCAGGCAAGGCATGTTAGAATCGAATGTTGATATATTGAACCGTTCTTGAGATTTATTGTGAACAGTAGCCAACATTTTCCATTTTACTGAATGTGAAATGAACAATTTCCCCGTTATTATGGCGCATTACAACAAATACAAAGCTATACTGCAGGTGCAATATGCGAGCAAATAAGCACAAGAAAATAATAATAAATAATAACGAAACCTGAAGGCGTGAGCGGGTGATCCTTTGAGAACTATTGGGAATGTGGTTGTGGCGAGAATTTCGAGTAAAGCAAAAGATCAGAATACAATTTAACTAACCTATGGAGTCATTCATTACGTGATCAAGTAACCACTTTCGGACGACGCTCTCACATCACAGCTTACTTGTAGAAACAAGTCATCTCCGATCACTACAACCATTCTGCTGCTCAAAAACAAAGAGAAATGTTTTTCAATCGAACGCGTCTTTATTGCTATTTTTGGGAAAACATATGGTAAATGGTGTTCTGGTTCTTCCTAAACTCCTCTAAAAATCTCACATGCAAAGGGGCAGCGGATCGCAAAAAAAAAACTGTGACAAATTCTTATTGTCTCTGCTTTGCTGGTACTTTATTACCCAGCGGAGAAGGCCTGCCTTGGGGTACCGATTCATCACAGCCTCCGATGCAGGCTGCAGCCCACCCTAGACACAACCCCCGAGGCAACCAGCTGAGGGGTTTTATATTAAGAATTTAAAGAAAGAGCCGCTTGCAAATCAGGTCTTCGGACGTAAGTGAAGCAGAAAATGGAAGAAAGCGTGAGAATTGTTTTATAACATGAAATTCCAATAAAATAGCGGAAATGGTACTACTGTATACAGTATATGCACGCGTATGACATTGGTTGTACATACAGTACACATTTTTAGCCTGTACAATCAAGAGACAAGTTTATAGATTCCTCAAAATAACTTGTTGCCTTCTGGTACGTATTGGGCAATGAATAAAAATAAGGTATTCTACATTATAAACCACATAACAGCTCAAAAGGCGGTGCGTTCATTATACCGCGATCCGGTAATGTTGAAGGGAAATATTTGACTTATCTGTGAAATACATTACTGACTGTAAGCGTAATCACAAATCACAGATGTTTTCTGTAATGCAGCATAGATATTTTTTAATATAGAGTACTGCTGCTAGGCGTTTTAAAAGTTGTATATGTATTTGCGATTTCAGAGGACGCGTCAATAAACTTTCTTCAGTTTGAAATGTATGGAAAAGAACTCTCCTGCATGGATACAAAATATTAAAATGATTTGAATTAATAAACCCTAAATATTCCCTTGAGCAAAACATTGCAGAAGGTGTTGTATTAAAAAAATATTTTATAACCATACTTAGACTTTATATTAATTAGTTTAATTTTAGCAGGGACCGTTAAATGCATCTAATTAAATGAAACACGAGTTAGGTAGGCGCAAGCTGCCAGGTAGTATTACAGTATTGCTTTTTAGTGCTCAAAATAATTAAAATATAAACTAATTAGGATATAACATTTTGCCTCATTGTTCAATCTGATTAGTATTTAGCATTCGCTGTTGACGAAAATAGCTCGTTAGAAACCGAAACGTCAGAAAGTCCTGTGAAGGATCGTTTTGCTCTTTCGAAATTTAATTCAATAAACCCCAATAACGGCGTACTGCCTGAGAAGAACACAATTAGGAACGGCTTTAAATGATCCAGATTCCGCGCAAAGAATCAGACAGATCATTTATCATAAAAGCAATTATTTCATTATGTCATCAAAGTAAAGAAAAAAACCGAATTACCTTAATAAAAAATAGGTCTAAAATTACTGTCAGGGAGATAGAAAAATAAATGAAAAGAAGGTGAGCAAAATAAAATGGTACTGACGAGATTGTTTCCCATAATAAGTACTATGGAAAATAATCCGCGTTATTTACAGTGAGGGATCTTGCAGTGAGGACGCTGCTTATTCTGTCAGTTTGTCGTTGGTTGTAAGTGGGAATTTCATATCTATCCCACATACTTGGATTTTATTCACTTTCTATCATGCGCTGGAGTTGTGTTTGCTCTTATCATTGCTCTGATTTCCAGGCACTGATGATACTGTACGTACTGTGCAGGATGCAATATCTCGTTATGTCCTTTAGCCTGATTTTTGTCTAGTTTTATGTGTATAACCAACACAGGATGCTAAGTTTACATTGACATATAAAAACTAATTATACATATGTAATTTATTGTTCAAACGTCAGATTGTGTTGGTCTCATTTGAAGTTGTTGAAATGCTCACAGGTAAATGGTGCACAGGCTGGATACAGTGCGAGCTGTAGACATGTCAATTGGATATTAAAAGTTAATGACAGCTACTGCGTTCTTCTGCAAGACGTCTTAAAATCCATTTAGAATCCGTTCGGAGTTTTTCTTTATTTTCTTATCATTCTAAAACATGTACAGGCACTTTATCCTTTTACGAGTCTAATATTAATATGCTATATATTCGATCACGTTTAAGTAATGTAGACACGTATTTTGGAAATGTTATACCCGCTTCACATTCCCATCACAACTGAAATATGAATCAACCTTCATTATTAATATAGATTCGAATACACACAATTGATTTTCATACATTCCCCAAGCCACCCCAAGCGTCTGAGAAAACCTTCTATTCGGGCAAAACCTGAAATAAGCGCGTAATAAAACGATGATATATTAAATTCGTTTTCCCTGTGTTCCAGATTTATTATAAGCCATTTTTCATTTTTATTGAATTGAAACTGAGCTCCCGTTCCCTCACGCTTTAGGCGGAGAAAGGTTAAATTACTAGTGCCAATCAGCGCAGCTGTTGGCCAATCGCTTAAATGCAATGAAACTTTTTTTTCTCCGTCTTAATTTTGTAGAAAGCTTCAAGCCAAATGGGCAAATAACTTTTCTGCACATGCTATTTAGGTCAGTTATAAAATTTGGGGGACGAATAGATTGAATCACTTCCAATCAAGGAAGAGGATTAAAAATAACGAGGGGAAACATAACTACACCACTCATTGGTGATTAAAATATTAACTATTGAAAGAAATAGGATTTGACCAACAACTTTGCACCATTTCCATTAAGTCTAATTGTTTAAGTTTTCCAGAATCCACTCAATGTATATTTTAATTCTAATCAATAAGTGCTTGTCCTATCTAAGCCTGGCTAAGCCTAAAGGGGTAATGAGACGGTAATCTTTACCCTAAAACTTCAACTTGGCTTGTCTCTTTCGCGCTCAAACTTGATTTTAAAACACTATCCTATTATTAGAAGAGATTGTGATTATTCCATCCATAGATCCATCTATTTTCTAACAGCTTGGAAAAAGCGGTCGCGGGAGAGCTGGGACCTATATAATAGCTATTATAAGTAAATAATAATTTAAAACTTACTGATTCCATTTTAAAAACTCTTACCACACATCACAAGGTCTTGATTCTCTGACTCTCATCGCAATTCATATTTACAAGTAAAATGTCCGTAGATCGATGATGATCATGATGATGACGACGTTGATGACAATTACTGCACTTGACAAAATTACAAATAAGAGCAACTTCTAAGACTCCCCAGTCCTGCCCTAACCACCCACAGGCATCAAAGTAAAACAAGCACTCAGAAATCAACTCAAAATAAGAAACAAACTTAATTAAGACTTTTTAAATTGTTTTCGATCCGTGACAAACGGAACTCGCATAGACTTATTTCTGAAAAGTATAGGACACATAATAGCCACGTAAAATTCTTAGGAGATGCAGCGCTAAATTCCATCTGCCGCAGGTTATTAATCATGTTAGCGCTCTGTCTAACTGTTAGCTTTCAGAGAGGCCAGTATTCACATCCTAGTAGTTTATACAGTTTATAAACCCAGGTAGGACTGGGGTCTTAATCGATGAATTGTAAACTATTTACATTTAAAGCTGCTCCGTTAACCAAACGCTGTATAGATACTAGCTATCCCAGTACTTAATTCAGCTAAAATAGGAAGGGTAATTAGAATAAAAAGAAATATGCTTACTTTTTGTTAATATTGCGTTGAAGAACAATGCACACGTGTATATGTGAAGCAGACGTGAAGGTGAGTTCCTTCGCAGGAGAAGCAGGCCTCTGACGGATGACAGCTTTGCTTGATTCGTGTTGGATTTTGCTTTGGCATATTTCAGACCAGCCCTTGAGAAAACGGGGTGCTGTTGCTTTAAGGAAAGGGAGACGACTGAGAAACCCAGCCCATCCCGGAACCCAGCAGCCAATGAATGAGTCAATCCTGGGGTTTTGGGAGAAAGAGCTTCTCACCTGCTCAAAATCAGTTTGAGGAGCGGTGCGCTAGCGCAGTCGCCGCTGTCCCAATTAATATTCATGGGAGAAAGATGAGCTGTTTATTTTGTGTCTTCATTTGGCATGATGGAGTTCCACAGAACCAGTAAATATCTCCCACGTTTAGTGGAGCTCAGCTGATCGTTGAATTCTCGCAAACGCTGCAGTGCAGGAGAAGCTATCTCTCGGCAAACTGGCGCTCGTTTTCGGATTTGTTTTTTTTTTCCTCTCAAAAACGTTGTGTTGAATTCTATTCAACTTTATATTTTTGTTAGTCTTTTCAAGTATATGTCTATTTTTATCGGTTTTGAAAATGCTGAATCTGAATACTACGCGTTCTGAGGTGCATATTCAGAGTGGATTTTGGTGTTCTGTGATGGACACGACTAAATAGTTCGTCACGATGGATTATTTACAGTGAGTTTTGCATCAGTTAACATAATTCGGTACAGTACTTCATGGCCACACGACAGAAATCGCAGAAGCAGAGTGGCTTAATACTATAAAAGGAAACACCTTGCCTAACTTTTCTGAGCCTTTCGTCTTGGAATGTTTTATCATTTTCCGGGGAATTCTGAGAGCATCGAGAAAAATAATTATATGTCTTGATCATTCCTAGAGTCATCCACATATATTTATAAAAATATACAACATCATAAAAAAATGGAACACACGGGGATCGAAGAGGTCAATCAAACCCATCAGCAGCACGAGCCTATCAGTTTTGGGATCGATCAGATCCTGAACAACACGGACCAGCCCAGCAGCTGCATGCTGCCGAACCGAACCGCCGAACCGGATTACCAACTGGCCTCTAACGTCTACGCCAACGGCTACAACAGCGTCTACAACCCGGCCTGCTCCATGGCGGCAGGGCTTGCGGGCTCCTACAATGTGAACATGAACATGAATGTCAGCATGAACATGAACGTTAACGTCAACCCCGGCGGCGCTGGTGGGGTAATCCGGGTGCCAGCCCACAGACCCATACCGCCAACGCCCCATCCACCCCCGCCGACCCATCCGCCTGGCATCTCGGCCGGCGTGCCCACCGTCCCGACAGTGCCCAGCATGGGCAACGTGCCGAATTTCACCTTCCCCTGGATGGAGAGCAGCAGGCGATTTGCAAAAGACAGGCTGACAGGTGAGTTGGTTTTGGCTCGGCTTTTCTGCGGTAAGCCTGAAGACACATTCATGTTGTTCTGGTGGGCGAACTGGACTCTTTTTTTT